TAACGCAGGGGTGTTTTGGCAAAATGGGCCGCCACTACGCCGCGTCGGGCCGTGTTTGCCCGCCTGGGCCGGCCTCGTGCCGCCTGGCTGGGCCACTGCCGGTGCCTGGGCCGCTCGCGCTGTTGCCCTGCCTTGCTGGGTCATTCGTGCTTGCCTCGCCTGGGCCGACATGCTCTCGGCTGCTGGGCCGCTCGTGCCCCGTCACTGTGCTGGGCCGCACGCGCCTGTGGGCCGCTGGCCGCGCGCGCCCTGTGCCCCGCCTGGGCCGCTATCCATGCATCCCCGCCTGGGCCTGCTTGCCGCTGATCCTGGCCGAGCAGGCTGCTGGGCCAGCTAGTGGCCGCCTGCCCCTTTTTCAAGTTTAAGGTGTTTTCTAATTTAAAGCTAAAGTAACCCTGAAAAATTCATAGAAAATCACAGAAAAATCAAAAAAATGCCAACCAGTTTTGCTAGTCTCATAAAATCATGATCTACCTGTTCGTATAGTTTGTTCACATAGTTGGATAATATTCGTGGAAGCTATCTAATTAATTTACGGTACTTGATATTGTAAAATATAAACCTGTAGGAATTTCCATGATAAATTGGTAATATTGTTGAATCTAAAATTTGTATAGTAGCCTCCTAGCAATATTAGGTACTCACTGTAAATTTTGTAGCTTCGGAATAATTAGTTTGCTAAAGAGATAATGATGTCCTATTTCGAATAATGATTAAATCGATAGAATAAAATAAAGAAACACCTTGGTTTATATAACTAAAATTATTGTTGGGAAATAACGTCTTATCCGATAAAGTGTATATGTAGCCTAAGTACGATCGTCGTTAGAACTAGCCCGTTAACTCGAGAGGCGTACGTCATATTTTATGAGTCACGATTGTAGTTGATTAATTACATCTTTGCATTGCATCGCATGCATATCATATAGGTACGATGATGGATCAACAGATCGATCGAAGGATGATTGAGAATCCGAAGATGGTGTAATGGTATTCTCTCCAGAAGATGATGCAATGCGCTTTCTATTCGGATGATGTGGATGATCTGAAGATGCTGATACTAACTTTTTAATATATCTTACCCAGGCAAGCCCCGGTGCATAACCCCTACTTTTCTGCAGTTTAAATTATATTTGTGCATTAAGTTTTAAGGAGTTGAATGAAACCCACTTGCATATATATATCTTTATCCTACGAGTCTTACTAGTATGACAGGATCGTGTAGATTGCTCTGCTACAGGACTCCGATAGAAGTCGAGTGATTGCCTGTCACTCGTGAGAGATAGGAAATATATTACTGAATTATTATCACCTAGAAAATATAAATGGTGGAAAGGAAATTGGTGACCGGGTAGGGATATGATTTGGGTATTGGTAGGTGTAAGAGGTTGTGTCGCCGTGGACATGGGGCATAGCTTAGTTACACTGCTTTCCCTGTCTGATCGGTTAAGGACCGTTCGTTGCGTAAGACTCTAGGCAGGTCACAGACTTATTATTCCGAGCACATACTTGTGTATGGGCGCTTGGAAGACTTGTTGCTCTCTTGTCGTGGATCCGGCTCTTTTCGAACTGACTGTCAGGGTTTCTTTTTGGTGGAGGAGGTCCTTGCACCGCACTGAGTCTGGGACTCAGGGGCAGGGGCTTGGAGTCCCAGTTTGGACGGGGATCTGGACACCCAGGACAGGAGAGTGATGGGTTGATCCTGCTTGTGCCTGGGGTACAAGCGGGGCGTGTGTTTTTTGGGTACCCAGCTGGAGGCATTGATTCGCAAATCGCCGGGAAATCCGGTAGGGCTTGTCTACGGTTTAGCATCGTAGTAAGAACTGAAAGATGCAAGCTGGAAAAAAGGAAATCTGATTGCTTACCACCTGCTTGAAAGTAGCACAGGTGCTTACATAGAATGGTTAATTAATGAACCAATGCGGCTATTAATAAAAATAGAATATAAGGACGCACGCTTCGTAATGCTTCCTGCTAATGCAATAAACCCACAAGCCAGATAGCCTTGCATATCCTTGGAGTCTTTTCTTTTCTCCTGTCGGGTAAGTCTTGCTGAGGACAATTGAGTACTCAGGGTTTTATTCCTCATGTTGCAGGTGACAGGTGGAGGCTAAAGCTGACCTTTGTGTGTGGATTCCTCCTGGTGGGCTCAGCGAGGATTTCCTTTACGTTGCGATTGTAGTTGTTATTTATAACTCTCACCAAAAGCTTTTATAAACGAAAGTATTATAATCTGTTGTCGTAGTTTATATATCAATACCTTGTCATGTCATTAATAGATGTTTATTTTCGTTGTAACTCTGTTCACATGTTTATATTCCGCTGTTCAATTAAATTATTTATAACTCTGATGATATGATTACACTCCGCTATTATAATAATAAATGTTATACCCTGATGTTGTATTAAAAGGGATGTAAGAAATGGTTATGAATGATGTAAGCTTTATTCTCTCATTTGTGATCCTGATGGCAAAAATGTGGATTTTCGGGTTCTCCCCTGAGGTGTGCCTGACGGAACCGAGTAATTTAGTGTCCTCCTTTGGGTGCTTAGTGTCTAATGAAAGACGAGCACTCCTAAGAGGCATTATATTATGCGGTTCTGCCACAGCGTATTCCTTTCCATCTCCTCCAATGTCGATGCAACACATGCACCAACATGATCGACAGTGATATAATCCACTCCATATCATCACGTGACCATATTGGTTCATCGATCTTGACTTCACTTGCTCTTCACCGTTGCTTCGGTCCATCAGCGCCAAGTCATCACTCAACTTGCCCTTCACACTTGCAACCGGTCCGTCGAGCCAAATCATGTCTTGATCTTCTTCACCTTGATCACATGACTCAATGTCATGTCTCATGTGCAATGAGCTCCTTCATCATCACATGTGTAAGCTTTGCAGCAACTCCGAGCCATCTTCACCGTCATAGCATATGTTGCTCACACACATGTACTTGTAGACTAATCACATGTGTATCACTCAAACACATATTAGTCCACCTAAGATTGCCACTCAATTATCAAAACCAAACAAAGACATTTCAGCGGAGTGAGGTTAGAGACGAAGCGGGTGGAGTGTGGTTTGCTCCCTTTGTTTTATAATATTTTATACTCCTTTATGAAATCATTATGAAGGACAGGTTTAGCGTAGTGGTGAGAAGCCTTCCCACTAAGCCAAAGGTCCTAGGTTTGACGTAGGCTCTATGCACAATGCAGGGGTAAGGCTTACCTCGGTTATTCTTTCCCCATACCCCACTCATGTGGGAACCGCCAGCATTGGGCCTATCCTTTTCATGAAATCATTATACAAATCAAGGGAGCAAGATGCACAGATTAATTCATCATCTCGATGAAATGAATAATTCATCATTCGTTGCCTGATAAGAGCATCTCCAACAATATCTTAAAAAATGAGTCCTAAATACTTGGTTTGAGAACCTTTCCAAAAACTATTAGGTATGAAAAAACACACTCCAAAAGTTCTTTTTTTCCGAAAAACAGACACGCCGTCGTTGTCGTACATGCCGACTTGCCACAACTTACCGCCTTGGCCAGCCATCCCCAACACCCTAGCTCACACCGAAAACCTTCGAAACCGAATTTTCATTACCTGCTCTACATCCAACTATTCTTAGATCTAAACATAGTGACTGCAGTTTTGGCGAACCTCCTACGCGGTGACGGCGGTGGCCAAGCCATGGCTGAACATCTCCATCATCATAACTCAATCACACACCATAAACTCCCAAATGGAATCTGCGTTGCCTACTCCTCATATCTGAAAATAGTGGTTGGATATCCAATTCTAATGAACCCTGCAGGTAGCGACAGTGGCAAGCAGTCGGTGATAAAGGGGAGTGCGAAGAAAAATGACAACAGCGTCAAGGCCGCCACCATGGAATATTATCATCCACATAGCACAAAGGGAGTGCACAGGAAAAAAAGAAAACAGCGCCAAGGCCACCACCACCACCGATGGAATATGTATCATCCGCACAGCACGAGGAGATTGAGAGTCAAGCGCAATAAATTAGGAGTTAGGATAATTCAAGCGTGGTAGATTGGGAGTTTACGGATTAGGTGCACGATAAATTCGAAGCTAGAATAAGGCGTTGTTGGAATATGTTTTTATGCTCTAATAACCCTGCTTGTTGCGCCGTTTGGAGCACGGGCATTCTGGAAGAGTCAGATTCATTTTTAACAAGCATAATTAAAAATTCTCCTAAAATCCTTCAAAATTCTAGGCTGGAACATGAAATTTAAAACCACACCAGAATGGAGTTTAAAAAGCTCCTGATATCGTCTCTGACTTGAGTTTTGAAAGCTCGTGATATCGTCTCTGAATTCTAAGTCCATGAGCATTGGTCGCATCATAAAACATCTAAGAAGATACAGTGCTTTATCAAAGAAGAAGAGGAAGATACAGTGCCAGACTGGGCGGCCGGCGGCGCATACTCGCAATCAAGGCATTCACCAGCCCACAACATTTCCACAAGAATAAGAGTAGCAATCACAATCCAACCATCCAATGGCATAGGAAAGCCCCTACGGCCTATGAGACGGCACAAAATCTTAGGAGACCGGAGGCGACGCTTCATCCCACTGGCGACATTGTCCTCCCCTGCAGATTATTAGAGTTGAAGGGCAGGAACGCACAATTGCAGCTAAATACGAAAGAAGCAGCCATAATGCAGGCGGAACATGGCAGGCAGAACTCTTACAACATGGTCTTTTTTTCTCCTCTGTTTTCGCTTGATGTAAAAAGGGTCTATGGGGAGTTAAAATGAAATGAAACAAGAACAGCATGAGCATGTCATCAGATGCGAGATCTAGATACACAAGCCACCACCACCGCAACCAGGAGGGGCTCACTCCGCTACCTACGCGCAAGGGCAACGACAAACAACGAAAACACAGCCAAACTGGGTTTGCTGAGCCACATTACGGCCTGCGCCTGCCTTCTGCTTCAGCTTCGTACTTCTCTGCCCAGCTGTTCAAGCCGAAGATGCAACACCGAACCCAGGCAGGAGCCATCCACTCTTCTTCGCGTGCTCCACATAGGAAAGGAACTTCTCCCTGGCATCAGGAATGTCGAGAGCCAGGTCATCGAGCCCATCCCTGACCCTTGAGAACCCCTTGGTCATCTGGTTGATGGTTATGATCCCTTCACCAAAGCACTCCTGCAGCAGGCTTAGGGTCCTCTCATTCTTCTTCTCCATTGCCATCACGAGCGCCTTCTTGACAACTTCATGGTTGAAGAAAGACATACCCAGCTCACGGATGCAGTTGCATGCTTCCCCTAAATCACCTCCACTTTCGTACTCCTCCAGGAGCTTTGTTATCTTGTCCTTGGCATCCTCCACAGCCCATCCGGTTCCACCACCCCAGCACCTCAGAAGCCTCTCACCAGCATGACGGGCTGATGCAAGGGAGCGTGCCATGTTCAATGTTTCAGCCCCGCTGCAGTTTGGTGGAAGCTTGCTGCTAATCTCATCCAAGTTTAGAGGTGCAAGAACATCATCAATCACAGCCCTGGCTAGGAACAGTCCCAGCGCATCTGAGGCATCCAATATATCCAGTGCGGTGTCTTCTGCAGATTCAAGGAGCATTATGAATCCCTTGGCGATGTCTTCAGACGAGAACAGCTCCATGCTTAATGAGGATAGAAGAACTGATGCCATCTCTTTCTCCCTGTTCTTGCGGTCCATAGCAATTGTTATGAGCTTCTTGATGAAGATTGGGTTATATTCTGGATAACCAAGCTCTTTGACACTACAGATAACCTCTGTTGTATCATCAGAGAGAAAGTATTCGTGTATTATAGAAACAGCCTCCCTCTTGTACCTTGCCAGCTTCTCATGTTCATCATCTTCAACGCTTCCGTTGACACCTGACTTCACATACGAAGAATCTAGCCATCCCTCAGAAATGGCTTTTGATACCAACAGCTGAAATTCAGACTTTGCAGATGGTATATCAAGAATGAGATCATCAAGACTCTCAGCAACCCGATAGAATCCTTTCATCATCTGACTAGAGCTTATTAAACATTCTTCAGATGCTTCCTTCAGAAGTTTGACAATAAGAGCTTCAGCAGCTGGACTCTCCATTCCAAGAGTAAGAGCTCGCTTCACCACCTCATGATGAAAAAAGGGCACTGCCAGCTCTCTAATGCACCTACAAGCCTCAGCTGTATCACCATTTCTAATGTATTCCTTTAGAAGATCAGCAATCCTCTTCTTCACCTCTTCTACCGTGATGCGAGTTGAACCACCCCATCGTCGCTCAAGTAACTCTGCGTGGTGGGGTGCTGAAAGATAGCTTTTCTCTGCAATTTGTACAACCTGCATACCCTTTGAAGATCCTGAGAGACTCACTTTTGCCTTGCTAAGGAAAGCAGGTGGCAGAATGTCATCAACAACTGCACGTGCAATGAAAAGCGCGAGCACATCAACCACATCAGGTATGTCAACAGCCAGGTCATCAACAGCCTCTAATAGCAGCACAAAGCCCAGTCTGATTTGAGTTGAACTGACAATGTTGCCATAAAGATATGATAGAAGCACTGATGCCATCTCTTTCTCCTTGTCATGCCTGTCCATTGCTGTGGAAACAAGCTTCTTGACAAAGTAACGGTGGAAATCATCATAACCCAATTCTTTAAGATCAGAAGCAGCTAATTTCACATCACCATTGCTGAAATATTCCTCAATTAACGGGACAACAGCTTTCTTGTAGTCTTCTAGTGGGGTTGAAACAGGGGCTTCAACTAACTCGTATGGTTCCTGAGTCGCAAAAAGAGATCAACATCGATGTACATGTATGGTTGCTGAGATTGAACATTTGACACTCAATTGTTTGTAGCAGAGTGAAAGAATAAATGGGTCAAGACCATCAAAAGCCATTACCTCACCACTGTCATAATTTGGATCATTTCGGTCAAGGCATGCCTCTGCGTCAGTATCAATTAGTTTGCCCCAAGTCCCTTTGCCACCAGCTCCATCTGCAATAGAAACCTCAGCAAGTCAATTAGGATACAGTAGAACATAGATATATTTCACATTTTTCTATCTTCAAAAGTTTGAAACATGGTAATACTAATCTTAGGTATAACTCACAATAGTATTTATTAAGCTGTTGTAATCACATAGAGCCTAAGCCCAACTATGTGTGCACTTAGACCATAGGTAGTAAGTCAGCAATCTCATGCATAAAAAAACTCCCAAGAACTAAACAACTGACACTCCATAGCATGCAACAGTATCAGAAGACACATAGGTTTTCACAATAGTATAGTCAAAATTACACATTGCACACTTGCATTTCATATCTTTGCGCAACACACATGGCAATCACATGTAATCAAAAGATAGTCGGCCACGTAGGCTGCATAACATTTGGCCATCCCTAATCTGATAAACTAGATCTAACACATAGATGGATCCTTTTATTGTTTCTTAAGTTGCAAGGGCTGCAATAAGAAGAATAAAGCTAAAGGTACATGAACCTCCAAAGCACACCTGACAACTGGTATTTTATAACAGTAAAAGTATGTCAATACATATCCTGCTTTCACATAAGAGATAACCATATGCATTCAGGGTAGACCTGAGAGCAAACATGCTTCTAAACATATCCCAAATACACCATGTGAATACAAAACAAATTAAGGAAACCATGACTGAAAGTGTCAAGGGCGTCGACGCCCAAGACAGCGGGTCCTCGGCTATGGAGCTCGTAGCCTTGACTGATAATGGCGTCGGGGTTGTTGCCCAGCTGCCCAATGGTGAAGGAGGTGAGATTAGGAAGAAGAGAGAGGATTAGGGTTGGTAATTCTTGCGTAATCCAAAGAGTGCCGATTACATGGATTATATAGGCCCGTGGCCTGCTAATAAAAAGGAAACAAACTCCTTTATTCTAGCAATATCTGATTAGCTCCTTTATTCTAGCAATATTTGATTGTCAATCTGCATGTATGCATGCCTAAGTCTGCTCCTGAATACGTGGCCGGCGTCGGTACTGGACGCCCCACATGACATCTCTCCCCCCCTCGACGAGCAGCTCGTCCTCGAGCGGGAATGTGGGGTAGCGGGCGACGAAGCTGTCGAGGTCTTCCCACGATGCTGATGAAGTGGGTTCGCCCTTCCAGTGAACGAGCAGCTGACGAACGCCACGGTTAAGGCAAGCGCGCGTGACGCGGTCGGGTTCCAGGACCACCGCTCCGTGGTGGATCGGTGGTAGGGCCGGTGGCGATGTCGGGGGCGTGCCGACGAACTTCTTCAGGAGGCCGACGTGGAAGACGTCGTGAAGGCGGGCGCGATCCGGCAGCTCCAGGCGGTAGGCAACGTCGTTGATGACGGCGGCGACGCGGTACGGCCCGTAGAAGCGGGGTTTAAGTTTGCCCTTGGTCGGAGCTTGGAGGGACGCTGCGGCACGCTGCCGAAGGCGGAGCCAGACCCAGTCGCCGACGGCGTAGTGGACCTCCCTGTGGTGCTTGTCGTAGTAGGCCTTGTACACCGCTTTGAGCTCGCTTTGGCCGTAGTGACGACGTCGGCGAGCAGCTCGTCACGTTCCGCCATGGACTTGGCCACGGTATTTGCAACCCGGTGTCACCGGGCTCAGAGGAACGGATCGTGGGCAGGTCACGGCCGTAGACGATCTTGAAGGGCATGTCCTTGAGCGCCGCTGTCGAGCGCCGTGTTGTAGATGAACTTTGCCCATGGGAGCCAAGCGTACCCATTGCCAAGGGACGATCACCGGTGAGGCGGCGGAGGTACATGACGATGATCTTGTTCGCGCCCTCTGCCTCGTCCGTCCGATTGCGGGTGGAACGCCAAGCGTCATGTGGAGCTTGGTGCCCGTGAGTCGCATGAGTTCGCGCCAGAATGCCGACGTGAAGATGGGATCTCGGTCGGAGACCATAGACCGCGGGACGCCATGGAGGCGTACAATCTCTGCGAAGAATGCCGGGCCACCGACTCCGCCATGTCTGGTGCGCGAGAGGATGAAGTGGCGATATTTGCTGAAGCGGTCCACCACCGTTAGGATGATGCGGACTTGCCGCCACGCTGCTGGAGCCCTCGATGAAGTCGAGGCCGATATCGATCGAGCACCGCCCCGTCCGGGGCAGGCGTGATAGAAGGAGACCGCGAGGGTGCGGTGCTCGGACTTGTACCGGCTGGCGGTGGCGCAGCGCGGATGTGATCTTACCTTTGCTTCTTGCGAAGGTTGGCGCGAAGGTTGGGCGAGTGGAAGTCTCAATGAGGCGATGGGCGTCTGGTTGAACACCCTCGTGTCCGTCATCGTGGACGGCGGTGAGCACCTCGTGGAGCAGTAGCGATGCCGACGGAATGTAGAGGCGGTCGTTGAATGCAACGAGGTCGTCGAGAGCGACCGAGGAGCAGCGTGTACCCGCCGCGCCGGCTCGTCGAAGCGCCACCAGAGCCGGACGGATCGGTGGGCGTAGCTTGTCGAGGCGGTCGATGTAGTCGAAGCGGGGCCCGAGATAGCGAGGCCACGGCCTCCTCCGTGTCGCGGCGAGAAAAAGGGCGTCCGCGATCGTGTTGTTGTTCCCCGCCTTGTACTCGACGGAGAAGTCGAAGCCGAGGAGCTTGCCCACCTGGTGGTCTTTGTGGAATGGTGGTGTTAGCCGATCCAAGAGAAACTTGAGACTGAAATGGTCAGCCCTTACCATGAAACGGCGTCCCCACAAGTATGGCCTCCAATGGCGGATGGCGAGGACGAGGCCAATGAGTTCACGTTCGTATGCCGCCAAGGACGCATGGCGTGGCGCGGTCGGCTTTCTTTGAAGAACGCCCGGTAGTCTTTGGTCTGGAGGAGCACCTGCGCCGAACCCAGAATCGACGCGCGTCGCACTTTCGGCATTGACGAAGGCGCGATTGAAGTCGGGCAGGGCGAGAACAAGCACCGTCGTCACGGCTGTCTTGAGGGCGGCAAAAGCCACAGCAGCTTCCGGTGTCCAGGAGAACCCTTCCTTGCGGAGGAGGGCTGTCAGGGGGGCGGCGATCGTGCCGAACTCCCTGACAAACTTGCGGTAGTACCCCGCCAGGCCGAGGAAGCCCCGGACCACCCGCGCCGAGCGAGGCTGCAGCCAGTCGGCCACTGCTTGGACCTTGGCGGGATCCATGGCGACACCCGCAGCGGAGATGATGTGGCCGAGGTAGGAGATCGATTCGACCCCAAAGGCGCACTTGGATCGCTTGACGAAGAGCGATCTTTCTTTGGATCGTCTTTGAGGACGCGCGCGCGCGCGCGAAGATGATCGACCGATCTTTCTTTGGATCGTCTTTGAGGACGCGCGACGCGATGGCGAAGATGATCGGCCCATGACTCGCTGTACTCGCTGTAGATGAGGATATCGTCGAAGAAGATGAGGATATCGTCGAAGAAGACGAGGACGCAATGGCGTAAAGGAAAAGCGCGGGGACGTCGTGCATGAGCGCTGGAGCGTTCTTGCGTGGCGTTGCGAGGCCGAAACGGCATGACGAGAAATTCGTAGAGGCCGTCGTGGGTGCGGAAGAAGCGGTCTGGCGCGGCGTCGTCGCGCGCGATCCGAACTCGGTGGTGCCGGGCTTGGTCGAGCTTGGTGAAGAAGCGGGCGGCGGCGGAGCTCGTCCGAGAGCTTCGTCGACCACCGGAATCGGAACGCATCCTTGATCGTGATGGCGTTGAGGCACGATAGTCCACGCAGAATCGCCAGAACCATCGGCCTTCCGGACCAAGAGGACCCGGCGACGAGAACGCCGAGAAGCTGCGGCGAATGATGCCTCGGGCCATCATCGCGGCGCATTGGCGCCCAATTCATCCTTGTGTGGCGGGGAATAGCAGACGGCCGGATAGCCACCGGGCGGATCCGGCGAAGGTTGATGCGATGGTCGCGGAGTGCGTCTGCGGAGGCATGCCGGAGGGCTCGGCGAAGACGGGCAAACTCCTCGAGGATGGCGGTGAGGAGATCGGCGCCGATCACGAGCTGGATCGTCGAGCTGTGGGAGCCATTGCATGCGCGCGACCGCAAGATCCAGCGGCCGCCACGCCGAAGGACATGGTGAGGGCACCGAAATCCTGAAATCGGGCCCGGCGTTGCGTACCATCGAGTCCCCAGGACGACGTCGTACCCAGAAAATGGCAGGGCGTAGAAATCCGCGGTGAACTCCTCCGCATTGATGGAGAACGGCGCGTTGCGGAACACGCCGGGCACCTGACGCGGCCGCCATTGGCCATTTGTGACCCCGCAGATTGGCCACAGGTGATGGTGGGGAAGCGGCGGCGGCGCCGCCTCCTCGGCGATGAAGTTGTCGTCGGCCGGAGTCGATCAAGGCGAGGAGGGAGGTGCCGCCCATCGTGAGACGCATCTGCATGGTCTCGCTGGTGCGCACGCCAGCGATGGCGTGGAGTGAGATCTGGGGCTCCGCTGGAGTGGCCTCGTCGGTCTCAGAGTCGGTGTCGTCCTCGGCCACCGCCAAGTCGAGGAGGAAGATGCGTTGGCAGACGCGGTTGTGGCCTCACCCAAACTTCTCGTTGCAGTTGAAGCAGAGGCCTAGGCGGCGGCGCTCTCTCATCTCTCACTGCGACAGCGCTGACTGGCGGCCCTCGACGGACCGGCCGGTGGATGGCTGGCGCTTGGCGCCGTGTTGGGCGCTGCAAGCGCCAGACGGGGTTGTGGCGCCGGTAGGAGGCCCTCGGTGATCACGCGCCTGGCGTGGTGGGGCGGCCGGCAAGACTTCTCGCTTTCGCGGAGCTCCAACTTGCGGGCGAGGCTCGTGGCGACGGCGAGGGACTGAGGGTTGTGGACCTCGACGTCGAGGCTAAGCAATGTACCGGAGACCCCGGTGAAGAGTTGACGCGCGTTGTTCCTCATCAAGGCGCCCGGCACGAGGGAGGAGCGCTTGAAATCGTTCCTGGTACTCCTCGACAGTGCCGGTGCGCTTGCACGAGGCCAACTCGTGGAGGGGATTGGAGCGCAGCGGTGGTACGTAGCGGAGATGGAGAAGATCCTTGAAGCGGCGCCATGAGGGGATGCCTTCGTCTGCCTGGACCTGGATGTACCACAGCTGGGCGCCCTCCTCCAAGTTGTAGGAAGCCATCCACACTCTCTTCCTCCATGATCCTTTCTTTGGTGGAAGTAGGATTCGATCGGTTGATGAAGATCGTGGTCGGACGGACTTGTCATCATAGCGCGGAAGTCGAGCTTTTGGAAACGCGGCGGCCGATCTTGGTGGTGCTCCCCGACCCGGAGTGTGCGGAGGATGACGAACCGCCCGGGGATGGCGCCATGGCAAAGTATTTGAATGGCCTAGGCGTTGGCCTCCACAGACGTCCCGAGTGTCTCGATGGACGCGACCGTGGAGTCAAGGTCACCGCAAAGGCGGCGTTGTTGGCGTTATTCACAGTGTTGTCGCCCCATGGCGTGTACGCGGCGTGGGGTGGCGGCAGAGAAGGAAGGTGGGACGACGATGGCGGCGATGGTGGGTATTGGGTGAGAATTCTCGGATCGTGATACCCCGAGGTTGTCACTGGCGTCGACGCCCAAGACACGGGTCCTCGGCCACGAGCTCGTAGCCTTGATCCCGATAATGGTGTCGGGGTTGTTGCCCCACGCCCAATGGTGAAGGAGGTGAGATTAGAAGAAGAGAGAGGATTTGAGTGGTAATTCTTGCGTAATCCAAAGAGTGCCGATTACATGGATTATATAGGCCCGTGGCACTGCTAATAAAAAGGAAACAAACTCCTTTATTCTAGCAATATCGATTAGCTCCTTTATTCTAGCAATATTTGATTGTCAATCTGCATGTATGCATGCCTAAGTCTGCTCCTGAATACATGGCGGTGTCGATCTTTGGACGCCCACATGACAGAAAAGACAAAAAGGTAAGATCACATTCTAACCAAAGTTTCTAAACAAAAAGGAAATGGTTGAAAGTAAGGCTATAACAGCACTGCAGACCATGTTTTGATGTGCATAGATAGCTGGCAGCACTATTGCAAAGCAATGCAATATTGTGTTCAGTGAAAACAAGAATTGACAATTAAATAATGGCAATAGAAGCACATGCTATAAGAGAAGGTATGGATTTTCCGCTCAGCCCACTTTCCAACATGCAGGTTGCGTGCACATATGCATAGACAAAGTCCAAATATCATCAGCTATAATTGCCAACTGAAAGGAATGGAACAATTCTGGATGAATAGGTTCAAGCTAAAGGATGCTCTACTGAACCCCAACTAGGAGTTCAGGACACAATTTGCAAAACAGGATGATAGGTGATTAATAAATAATAGGTTCAAGCTAAAGGATGCTCTACTGAACCCCAACTAGGAGTTCAGAACACAATTTGCAAAACAGGATGATTGGTGATTAATAAATAATAGGCTCAAGCTAAAGGATACTCTACTGAACCCCAACTAGGAGTTCAGGACACAATTTGCAAAACAGGATGATAGATGATTAATAAATAATAAACAAATGAAGTAGCCATACTTCATAAAACAAATCACATACAGCACGTCCTACATGGTACCCACAGGAGCTACTTGAAGTGGTCACTCGAATTAGCAGCTGGCTTGTGGAAGATAGTTCACATCAAACCCACCCACAGTACAATTCGGTGGTTCAATCAACTGAAAGCTGGTTATCAGAACCAAGGGCACAATGTGCACCGTCAATTTTACGTTACCATATTTGACTTCAGAACAGTTTGTACGGTTACACAGATATACAACAAAAGAGTACTGTGGCGACAAAAATAGCTAAAAGGCTGGCGAATGAAGACAGAACAAACATAGTACCTAAAATGAACTGACCTTTCGACAGAAATCACTACACAGCCAAATATACAAATGTCATGGTCCAACTAAATCATTCCCTTATGGGTGGCTCAACCACCAGCTAATCCCCTATTGACAGCTCAGACTAAGTTAACCCGCGCATGGAACACCATGAGGCATCATATACGCAAAGCTAACTGTCTAAAAAACAAGCATGCAGATATAGCACAGAATATTTAAAACAAAGTGCTTCTATACTTAACCAACCTAAAATAACAATTTCAGTTGGGCAGATAGATATAAGCAGCTAAAAAAGCATCCATGTTTCTACACAATAAATTGCATCGATGCTACATTTCCGCTTTAATTATCATCTCCAAACCCAAGCTATGCAGTCTCAACACAACAAGAGCCCACCATCCATGGTGGCCCAATTTCACGAGCCACAGACACAGACTAGCAGGACACTAGAAATCCAGAGCTATAGGCAACAAGGAGACCCCACAAAAAGCATATCCCTATCCCTAATAAACAAGGAGAGCTATATGAAGCAGAGCTGCCGAACCTACATTAGTATCAACATAAGCAAAAACATCATGACGCCACAATTAGCATTACACCCTAATCAACGCAAACAAGGCAGCAAATTAATAATAGCAGCACATCATTCGCACAAACCAGCCTATCCTATCCTAAACAAACAAGCAAGGTAGTAAACATAGCAGGCGTGAATAGATCGAGCAGGCAGCGCCACCTCACCTTTCTTCACCTTGATGGTCTTCCCGGAATGCGACCGGCGCACGTGCCTGGGCCCACCTCCCCCTCCCCCTCCCCCTCCCCCTCCTCCGCCGCCGCCCCTCCCGCCACCAGCAGCCGCGGCGGCCGCTGCGGCGGTGGCGCGCTTCTGCTCCAGCATCTGCTGCTCGTACTGCTGCAGCAGCGCGGAGGTGGTCCCTCCCGTGGGCGAGCGCGGGGAGGCGAGCGACTGCGTCTCCGCGTTCTGCACCGCGATCCGCAGCTTCTCCCGCTGGTCCTGGGTCAGGAACCCCCCGTCCTTCCTCGGCGACGTCATCCCTCACAGCCCTCCTCCTCCTCCAGCACCTCCCCAGCACCCACCACCGTCGTCAGCACCTGCAGCAGAAACAACAACAACGTAGCAGCGGCACCGCTCGCGTGAGCGAAGCCGGAATGGGGGGAGGCGCGGTTTGAGCGAGGCGGAGGAGGATGAGGAGGAAGGGAGGGTTTCTCCCGCCCGTACCTAGGGTTTCGGCCGCGGATCGAGCCGGCGGCCCCGAACCCGTGCGCGAGATTTGTGTGCGAGCGTGGATAATTTTTTTCCTCCTTTCTCTCTCCCCACTCTCCTGCTGCAGTGTTGCTGGTCTCCGGGTAGAGAGAGAGAAACGGGGACGGCGACGCGAGTGTGACGGGAAGGATAGGGAGGCGAGGCGTGGCTTTATACGGAGGCGGCGTGGGCCCCATGCCGCGGACACGTCCCCGCACGTCATTGAGCCTGCCTTGTGGGCCTGCACGGCCCACTGGTCTGGTCCGGGCCGGCCGGCCGTCGCGGATCCCTATCCCGGGTCGTCTCCACCTGGCGCTGTCCGCGCGGCTGGCCAACGCCTCACTGACACGTGGGTGGGACTGGCCCTGGGCCCCGCGAGTCGGTGACGGAGGAAGGGCGTTGTTGGGCCGCCGCCGCTGCCTCGGGACGTGCGGCGTTTGGACCGGGCAGGCGTGGGAGTTAGGGTTTTGCTGCTCGGGAGGGAACGATTGGGTCGAGGGGCGTTGAGGGGGATCGGGATCGTCTGTGGCGAACGGAACGGGGTCGGTGACAGTGGTGTGGTGTGGACAGGCGGTGGCTGCCTGGCTGGGGGACACTTGGCGGGCTTTGATTGGTGGTGGTGCTGTGGATAAGGCAAAGCAGGGGCGGATGAGAATGACGCGTAGGATTTAAGTCAAGGTTCAGTCATCATCATTAGAGTATCTCGCTCACGCCAAAATTCGATCGGATTCAGATCGACTACCTGTAGATCACGGTTTTCCTTGGGCTGAGAGGAGCCCGCCCATCTTTTCGGCACAAAGTTTGTTGCAGTAGAAACGTTCCGTTTCGTGCTTTCAGCACACAGAAAGGATCGATTCTGGTGACGGTTGTTCTTTTTTTTAATATATAAGGATGACGATTGATTTAAAATATCATTTTATTTTGGACTTATGCCCTGTTCGTTTGGCTGATAAGCTAAAAGTACTGTTGGCTGATTTGTTGTGAGAGAAAAATATCGTTCATTGGCTGAAAAAGTACGGCTTACAAGACAAGCGAACAGGGCGTTAAGTGTTGACGGGTGGCTCATTTGACAAGTAGAGTAGAACGAAGGTGGTTGGTTTGTTAGACTTGCCTTGAACTTATCCAAAATCAGGGGGCGCTTGTCGGCGACGGAAAGCGCTAGCGTTTCATCATCTTTCTTTTTTCTTTTCTTTTTTTTTTGAGAAAATTCATCATCTTTCATGGACAAGGCATTTCTTGGCCGCTCTCTTTTGGATCAGCAGTTTGGCTCAACCCAAAACGTAAACATATCGTTTTATTGGCTGCACCGTTATGTTCCAAGTCTCTACTATAATGGATCAGTCGAAATTATACTAGGTCCCCCCACGAAAACATCCCCCGCTGGGAGCCTCCAACCATTGCGCACCCAGAAAAATACACACACGAATTCAGCACCATTAAAATCAAGGGTTAATCAAACACCTTAACCAAATCCGTTGGCTACAATTTGACGTGGGATACCAGGCTTCTCACCCCCGCACCCTGCTCGCACTTCAACGCGGTGTCCGCCATTCAACGCTCCATCAAAACCAATCATCATCACCGAAACAAAAAAAAACTACATTAGAAACCTTCCTCGCATGCGCCTGCAGGTGCTCGCGTTGATTTCGGCCGTCCACGGTCATTCACTCGAGTGAACGCACAAAGGGAGAAAAAATGAACACCGCGCGACTTCCACCATCGTAGCCTCTCCAACCCCTTCTCCCCCGGTGCTCCTTGGCTGGGGGCGCTGCTGGCCGAGCCTCGCCGTGGCCGGCCCCGTGGCCGGATTCTGGCGCGATGGGCGGCGGTGGCCTGGTTCATGAGTCTGGCGGCGACGGTGGTTGAATCCGGCGTGCGAGCTCTGGCACCCGACCATCTCAGGCCTCCTCCTCCACGGTGGCTGATTCTGGCGGCCGCTCGCCGGGACGGGCGGCACCCGGGAGGCCGCGTGCGAGAGGGTCGGCGACGGATCTGGCGCAGGTAAGCCGCGTGTAGGAGGGCCACCGGCGGATCTGGCCGACGAGAGGGCAATGAAGCAATGCCTTGACGCATGGGAGGGCCGCGCCCTCGAGGCGACACGGACGGAGGGACGGTTGCGTGACGCCGGTGGTGCACAGGAGGGTGGCGCAGGCAGGGATCCTAGAGGATGGTGGCGATCTCGATGTACCGCGGCAGCCTCCACATTGGTGGTCCCGACAGAGGCACCCCAGCCGGCCCTCGACGCGAAGCGGTTCCGCCGCCTTGTGCGCAACTACTCCCGCGCCGTCGCGCTCCTCGCCGTTCACCCAAACCAGAGGGAGGTGAGGGTCATCCAATTCTTCATTACCACTTCGCTATCGGTTCCTTGTTTGATGATCGGTATCGAGTGTATCTGCTCACCCTGCACCATAGGTGTTTGTGCGCTTGTGTAAACCATCATTTGGTACTACCCTAATTGTGTAAAAGTTGAACTATGAAAAAAAAACACTGGTTGTTTTCATGTGCGTCTCCAAGATAAATCCGTTACGTTAGCACGGGCATTATACTAGTATAATTAAGTTGATATCTACTCCGTATTACTTTTGAGGTGGACCTTTCGTCTTTGCTTTTACTCTGTATTTGTAATTGACCTAGTAGTTATGTAAAGATTAAAATTACATTGCATCGCAAACAAAGTATAGGTATGGTATGGGACGAAAACTGTCCAATTCAAAATGTTTTGGTGCTTGAGCGACATTACATCTCGGCGAATGAGCTAATGCATAGCAAGAGAAGAAGATAAAAACTTGGAATTGTAGCGTTTGTTAAGAGCGAAAGGCATCGGCGCATGACTAGTCTGATTCATCGTGAAATTCTCGCTATAGCTGAAAGAATGGTGTAACTTCATCTCATGACTGACTATTGCATAACATCGGCGCATCGCATCTGAATTCTGATGACCCAAAGTAACTAAACTGCTCCCTCTGACCGTTAATAAAACACCGACGCCATGATACGAAAGCAAGTTTCATCCTTGGCCCAAAAAAAATGCTGGTTCCATGGTAGCTGGAGAAAATCGTGACGCGTCTCCAGGCCCCGGCACATGAATTCCTGGTTGCCAAGGCCAAACTTGCGGCGTGTTCGGCTGGGACTGGCTGGCTGGGCTGACCAGTCCCCTCACATGAACATTGTTCACATGAACCAGCCGGCAGTACTTCTCTCTCATATAAACGAACCAGCAACGATACGAACCAGCCAACCGAACATGCTGTTGGTGTGGTTGACATGAAGAACAGGAAAAATCATGGCAGAACTTTCCACAAAGTGCTAGATCTTGTCACATTTATAGACTAGAGACCAAACTAGAATCATAATTAATGCCACAATGAACTCAAGTGGAACATGCGGTAGCTTACCTATCTTGAGGTACTATGCTGTATTTTTTTTTTCTTTTCCACTCCACTTAAGAGAATACTATTTCAATCTTAGAAAGATAAATTCAGTAGTTCAACTGGTTCATATAATTATTCTCCTATAATGATACAGAAAGATAGATAGCCTTGTTTGACTGGGGATAATAGTGTTAACAGTAGCTGATCCGGCACCTGAAGGGATCTATGGTTGTGGTGGTTTCTTTGTTAATCTTGCCTAATCCAAAAACAGGGGCTGCTCTGCTTTCAACCTAGATAAAGGCAGCAACCAGGCAAAGTAAGGCTTTTCGCAAAATGAAAAAAAAAAACACTTTTGTGATCGGAACACACACTCGATTAACCAAAATGGTTAGCCAAATCGGTAGTAACCAGACTCAACCCAAAGCCTGGAATAAATGACTCTGTATTTCTCCATAAATCTAGCTAAACAAAATTCTGAGAACATGTGTCTGATGTGTCAAAAGAAAGAAGAACAAAGAAGCAGTCCAGTCATCGGCACAGCTCCACCAGCAGACAAGAACAACGCTTGCGATGGTATCGTGTCCAGAGCACCGCCAGATTTTTTTCAGTTTCTCCATGATCTGAGCTTCTGTTCTTGCCCTATTCATCATCACTGTTTTGTTTATTAGAAATATAAGCAAAGAAAACATCACTCTATATATAAAGCTATATGCATCATCCTGTGCTGAATCTGGATCACTGAAAACACTCATCAGTTAACCATCTCAAACAAGCAAGAATATCACCCAACCTTACCGGCTTGTTTTTTTTTTCTTTCTCAGATCAAAAAGGAAAAAGGAGGAGAACATCACATTAGAAGATACTATGAAAATCCAGAGGACAAAAATATATAGTGAAAGATGGAACCAATATACGGCCCAGTAGTCCAGCCTCATTAGCCCACACCAGCAGACCACCTCACAAAAATTACCTATGCTGAATGATGATCCTCCTTTTGCAAACTAAGCACTGCACCTCAAGATCAAAACAACAACATCACGGTACCTTTTTAACATATAAGGAGACTAGAATCAGAGAGCAGAAGTAATGATGGGTAAATGGAATCAAACCAAAAGATACACCAAATTCCCAAAGATAAAACTATCACTGCTTCAGTTATTAGCTCCTGGGAAGGCAAATCAGTAAATACACCTGGATTAGACCATGGTCACACAATCTTCGAACTGTCTTCATATAAGAGTAACATATCCATAAGTAAACAGAAAGCACTATACGTTTTCAAGGTGCCATAACCCAATCAACAATTCCAAAAGCGAACCAGAAAGCCATGTCTTTCCTCGGCAATAACAGGCCAGCAACCACCAGTATGAGTTTATAAGACTTCTGTCCAAAGGCAACCAGAACTTGTCAATAGAAATTGTAGAAACATCCCAATTCAACGTAACTACACAGTTTCCCTAATAACCATGTGACACTAAGTAAACATTAGCTGCCTTATAATGACTATGTAGGAAAAAGAGTTGCACAGCGCCACAGCCGTGGACAATCTGAATACTGGAAGTAGCAGGCCAACGACACCATAGTGGCATGGAAACCATTGTAAGCTGCAACACAAAATAGCATAGAATGGTCAGTGAATAACATACAAAAGGCAAAATATCATAGAACTAATGATGTGACAGTCAAAATATAAGATAGAAGAAGCAGAATACATCGATTGGGTAAGATGTGCGGTGAGCACAGCTAACAGTAACAAAATGAAATGACAGGCACCGTTTTGCCTCTTGTGCCCATACACCAGCAGCTAAATTTAACCTATGAATATGTAAACGATATCATCCATACCTGCTTCAAATAACTGAGTATTTTTTAGTTGGAGCAGATTTGGGTAGATTGGGAACCTGGCTGACACAATCCTCAAGGACACGTTTCAACTCTGCTTTTGCCTTCTTCACACAAGACTCTGAGTGGCCCTCGATAAACAGGTACAGTTTGCGCTCATTGGCACCAGCAACTTTTCCTTGAGCAATATATGTTCCCCTTATAGTGATAGCAACACCACCTTCCTGAATAGGACCCAGTGTGTCTTTGTGAGTGATCCTCCAGCGAGCATACTGTGGGAAATCATTAATCTCAAGCTCAGCCTCGTAGTGGTCAGGAACCGCATGGCGCTGTATCCGTGCCAAAGCCTCAAGAGCATGAAGCCTAGCTTCATCATTTGCGCTCGGATCACCAACCGCCTGCACGTCCAGGTCATCTCCTGCCTTATGTACCTCTTCCTCGTCAAAATCTGAATCTGACTTCTCCTCCTCATATCCATATTCCCTTGCCTGAGCCTTCTTTGTGGATTTCCGCGCTTCATCCTCTTCCTCATTGAACTTGAAACCGCTTCCACCATAACCAGTACCATGGGTCCGCTCTGTTCCCTGCTTCACCTTTGCCATAAACCGATCAGCTAAGGCTTTCAGGTCCTCTGGAACAGTCTGTTCAGAGAGCTCCAATGCCTTCACAAGGTCTGGCGCATACCGCTCCTCTTCCTCGGAAATAAAAGTCACAGCAGAGCCCTTCCTACCAGCACGGCCTGTTCGCCCAACACGATGAACATAGTCCTCATAGTGGTTAGGGACATCATAATTGACAACCAATTCAAGTTCTTTCACATCTAAACCCCTAGCAGCAACACTAGTAGCAATCAGCAAGCTGCAGATATTGCTCTTGAAATCAGCAACAGTTGATTCACGATCAGCTTGGTCTTTACCACCATGTAGAGACAGGCACTGGTATCCATGCTGGAACAAGTTTTTAAGCAGAGAATCGCATTTATCTTGAGTGTGGACAAAAAACAAGAATCTTCCCCCTTATCACACCACTTCCCAAGCAACTCTAACAGCCTCAAGAACCTCTCACTTTCTGGTCGCACCTCGACTACTTGTGTGATGTCTTTGTTCACCACACTCCTCCCACCCACCTGAATCTCAACGGGTTTGATCAGCACCTTGCGCGCCAGCATCTCTACCTGCCTTGGAAAAGTGGCTGAGAAAAGCACTGTCTGCCTATCTCGCCGAGTGTTTTGAATTATCCTTGTAATCTGAGGCTCAAAACCCATGTCGAACATTCTATCAGCTTCATCCATCACCAAGAATGTCACTCTCCGAAGGTTAGTGATTTTCCCATTGCTAGTACAGAGGATATCGATCATCCTTCCTGGTGTGCAAACGACAATTTCAGCACCTCGTTTCAGTTCACTGATCTGCTGGGCAACCCCTGAACCTCCATAGACAGCAACACAACTAATGCCAAGCATCTTAGAGAACTTCTTAATGTCCGAGTGTATCTGCACCACAAGCTCCCTTGTAGGAGCCACAATGAGCCCAACAGGACCATCTCCAGGAGCAACAGGTGGCTGGTCTTTGACATGCCTGAGCATCGGAAGGAGAAACGCAAGTGTTTTGCCAGATCCAGTTTTTGCAACACCAATGCAATCACGGCCACTCATGATGACCGGCAGCGCTTGCTCTTGTATAGGCATGGGTTTCTCGAAACCAAGCTTCTTGATGGTGTCAAGGAGCTTGCTAGTCTGCCCACTCTGTAACCATGTCTTAATTGGCTTGGGCACATCTTTCCCGTGCACCTTGAGCTCCAATTCCTTCCGGTAAACGGACACTTCCTCGGATGTCATCTCCCTGATGTCCTTCGCCTCGATGTAGAAATTCTTCCGGAACGGCTGGTAGTCAATCTTGGAATGGTCCACAACAGCCAGCTTCTCCACCTTTGTCTTCTTGACGCGCTTCATGAACTCCTCATCGTCCTCATCCTCCAATCCAGCAACACCATCACCATCATCGCCATAATCCGAGTCTGAGTCATCCCCTTGCATGATTCTCCCCATCGCCATCTTCAACCCTTTCTTACCCCCAGTACTGACAGCAACCTCCCTTACACCGTCCACTGATGCTGGATTGCTCTCCAGCTTTGCGACCTCCGGCAGCACCATGGTGTTCATGAACGCGTCAAGCGGATCAATCTCTTCCTCCTCCACTTCCACATCAGTAGGGCCACTGGTAGCATTACCCCCATTGTCGCAATCAACATCCATGACACTGCTTCCGCCCAAATCCGTGCCATCCTCTTCCTCGTCAGACTCCTCGCTCTCCAAGTTCCACTTCTTCCCCGCCTCAGCACCGCAGCCCGCCTCGGCCTTGGGCCCGGTGGCACCCTGCTGCTCGCGGCGCTTCTCCTGCCAGTCCTTGACGCGGATGCGGCGGCGCTCCATCTCGTCGTCGAGCCGCTGCTGCTCGGCCCCCATGCCCCTCTCCTGGTCCCTGGTAGTGGGCGCCGCCTCCGGCTCCCCGTCCCGGCGGCGGTGCTGCGAGGACACGCGGCGGCGCTTGCGGTCGCGGTCGCCGTCCTCGTCCTCCCCGTCCGCATCCCGCCGCCTCGGCCTCTCCCTATCTCTCCTCCCCTCGCGCCGCCGCGCCTGCTCCCTCTCCTCGCGGCCCCGGTCCCGATCGAAGTCCCTGTCGTCGCGACGGTAGCGGGAGGAGGAGCGCTCGTGGTGCCTGTCGCGGTGGTGGCGGGAGGAGGAGCGATCGCGGTCCCGGTCCCGGTCCCGGTCCAGGTCGCGGTCGTTATCATCGCCGGAGCCCATGGTGTCGGGCTGTCGGCGGCGGTCGGAAGGTTCGGGAAGCGAAACCCCAGGGACTAGGCGCCGGTCGACGTGTTCCCGAGTTTGGAGACGTGATTTTTGTTTCGCGGTTTATTAGCAGAAGATAATTGACATGTTTTTACCTACTTTTCAGCCACGGTGTTCAGCGTAAGTCAAACTTCAGCGTAAGTGAATAGGGTGAATTTTTGTTCTTTTTATTATGGCGCTTTAGAGGATTGCATGAATCTAATTTCTTTTACACGATAATGCTGGGCCACGTGTGTCCGCCCTATTGGCACGCCGCGTCCCTCAGTCTGCCTCGCTGTTTTCTCCCATCGAGCGCCTTACCCCGTGCCGCTCGCTTGCTTTCTCCTCGCTCCCGCCTGTCGCGCGCCCTACCCGCACAGCTCGCTCCTCGCTTCAGCTGCGCTCCGCTCGCTCCCTCTCGTAGTGATAGCGAATGCCGCTTGCCCCGACCGAGCCAAGGGACGCTGCTGGTGGTGTTGTAGTGGTTGCACTCGCGCACCGCCACTGGTGGTACTGTTGGTGTTGCTTGCGCGTCACCGAATCCCACCCTGACGATCGGTCGATTCTGGCCTAGACCTTTCCCTTTCCTATGTTGCAAACGTATGTTTTAAGTGTTTCAGATGTTTTAGAGGTACATTGCAATTATTTCATAAGGATGTTGCAAAAGTAGATCGGGATGTTGCATATATTGAAGTGTTTCAAAGGTATGTTGTAAGAGTTTGTTCAAAATGTTTCATCTGTTTCGAACGTATGTTGCAAGTGCGTCTGGATGTTACAAATGTTATGATGGCTATGTTGCAAGTGTATGTTCCAAATGTTTCATTTTTTTCCGTCATATATTGCAATTTGTTTCATGTGAGTGTTGCAAAATTAGATCTTGATGTAGGGTGGTCGAACGAGGAAGAGAGAGCTAGCGTGGGAGCCATGGTGGCGTCGGTGTCAGAAGTGGCGGCGGCGCTCCACCGAGGACGCTTGCAGCATTTGTGGCCACAGGTGGGTCCTCATAGTCTTTGCTCCGATCAACGACCTACTCGCCACGCTTATCGCTGTCGCCGTCAGCGGAGCCATCTGGCGTGGTGGCGTGCGTGTGTTGGCGCGATGGATGTGTGGGGATAGGGACAGAACACAGAAAAGTGCGTCGAACGGGAGCTATGTTTGGACGTGGCCTGGGGCCGAACTTCCCGGCGCTATCCTTACCCTTTTTTATCAATGGATTAAAATAGAATAGTTTCTCAAGCGGAGTTCCTTGAAACCTGCTTTCGTACCGGTGTCGAATCCTTCGAGTAAAAGTTCTATAGACACCTATTAGTTGGATTTGCCGATAATTGACCAGTCATTACCTAGGATATGAACTTAAAATTAATCCATCCATTAGTTTATATGTAGATGCACTAGAACTATTTTTAGCTATTCTTCTAAGTGATTTAAAGAAGGCTACAACAAAATGGCGCTCAGAGCCATCAACAATTCTAGTGCTACCCGTAGACAACCAAAGTCACGCCGATGATACCCTATAGAGCTTAGCGTAGATTATTAGGCATAAAAGCATTTGCTCATATCATCGTATTTTGAATCCAATCATCAAACTAGAGCATGAAATAAGAGAAACTTTATATCATTGTCCAAATTGAAGTTTCCCGAGCATCAGTTTTGAGTAGGGTGGTGGAGGCCGAGCTGTTTTTCACGAATTCGTCATGACTCGAGAAGCTCCTACTCACTGGTGTAGTGTCCACGAGCGTCATCGTAAACTGAGGGAATCAAGGTGGATAACATATCGGGTGCTGCGTCTGAGGCAAACAGAAAGCATTTAGGGTGTCCCCAATGCACCGCGCTGGCCAACTGGAAATATTAAATAGGAAAAAACACTAACAGAGGATGCTTTCATTCGCAACCACGTCCTACGTGCCTTTACAAACGGGAAGTGGACTACAGAGGATTCAACGAGGCTATAAGAGTCACCCTCGCAAGCTACCACCGATCTGAAATGCATGATGCATCCACAAGTAACTAGAGTCTAAGCACCATGCTTACACTACAATTACTACTTTACTCTTCCCGGATAAAGAATAAAACACTCAAATAAGTTGTGAACCTGATGAATAATATAAACAAGAAGCTTACTTAAATCAAAAGTTGATTACCAGAAAAATTTTAGAGGCAAGCTCAGATAGAACTTGGATCCGCCAAGGTACAAGCCGTAGAGAGAGCACCGACAAGCTGGCACCTCCTCCAAACTCTTCCCTCACTCTCTATCTCACTATTTCTATTTATAAGACTAGATCCTATGGAAGAATAATCTTCTCTTGATAGCTGACTTTGATCCTGATAAGGAGAATATGATTTAGAGTTTCAGGATCTAATAAGAGAGGGGGGTAGGGGCTGCTATATATAGGCTAGAGGTAGAGTAGCGGCCAAGGAATCAAGGTGGAGTAAGGGGCAAGGACTCTAGGAGGAGTAGGGGGCAAGGAATTGCCACGTCATTGATCCGCGTCAACTCTCCCCACCACCGTTGGATGAACCGACCTAAAACCGCCTTAGAATCAACGGTGTAGATCGTAGGAAGGAGTACGCGGGGCGAAGGGTGATGGGGCACCCTCATGGGCCGGGCGGCCTCCCTAGTGGGCCGACCGACCGTGCCAGGTGGGCTCCTCCTTCTGGTGGCGAGGCTTGGGCTCCGTCTTGAGTCGACTTTCATAGGTGTCGTGGGTAGAATCACTTGTTGTCGTCGGTTCGCTTGTTTGGAGTGTATGACAGTGGTTCCAGAAGCTATTTTCTGGATAAATCCTCCTGCAGTCATGAAATCACCAAAGCTAATAGAATTTATTAGTTTAAACTCATAAACCTTCATTGGTGATTATATTTATGCCCTTATACATGTTTAATTGATGTTTTATAATGGTTGTTAACTACCGTCAACACTTAAGTAGAGGGTAAATATATAGATAGGAATTAAGCATAATGACACTCAGGGAATAGATCTATAAATATAATGTAAACTAGTCAACCCGGGAGAACAACAGGCAAGGTAGATTCCTATGATATTCTTATTATATGATCAAAGTATATATATACCCGACTATAGCTAAGATTAACTCTACTCTTGTGCACTTCGGGGCGCCGCTTAGACGGTAGAGCACCCACAATAGATGACTACGGTCCTACAATTTAAGAACCTGCTTAATTCGGAGTAGACTACAAAGGATAGACGGGGCTGTCACCTCCCGCTGCTACCACCCAACCAGAGAACAGGGTGCACTCACAGGCAGAGCATCGTATAAGCACCATACTTACATGAGACTCGGCTACTTAACCTAACTGGTAAACTAACAAGCTAAGCGCTCTATGAACCCGCACATAAAAGTATTGATAACATTTAACTAAGCAAGATATATATTCAAAGTAAACATAGCCATGTAGATAAGAATATGATAAATTGATAATAAGTCTTACAAGATGTAGAAGTGAAGATACAAGGCTTCGCCAAGCCTCCAAGACTAGATTCTGAACTTGAGTATGAGCCCAACTTGACCCTCACTCCCGAGCTACTAATCTATTATATTGGAGAGCTCTAGAACTAATCCTCCTGGTGTGTCTTGATCTGAATGAGAGATATGAATTAGGGTTTTCAAGATGGCTCTAGGGAGGGGGTAGGGGCTGCTATATATAGGCCGAGGTAGAGTAGGGGGTAAGGAATCAAGGTGGAGTAGGGGGCAAGGAATCGAGGTGGAGTAGGGGGCAAGGAATCCAAGTGGAGTAGGGGGCAAGAAATCGCCACATCATCGATCCGCGTCAACTCCCTTGACCACCGTTGGATAAACCGACCTAAAACCGCCTTAAAATCAACGGTGTAGACGTAGGAAGGAGTATGAAGTAGCGGACGGTGAGCGGGCTCCGTGGCAGGCCAGCCGGCCTATGGGCTAGGCCAGCCGGCCCACTTTCGTGTCCGTTTGGCCCAAGCTTCGACGTGGTGTCTTCTGAAACCTTCTAGAGTTGGCTTTCGCAGTTTTCGCGGGTTGAATCACTTGTTGTCGTCGGTTTGCTTGTTTGGAGTGTATGACAGTGGTCTCGGGAGCTGTTTTCTGGATAAATCCTCCTGCATACAAATATTTACCAAAGCTCATGGAATTCATTAGTTTTAACCCCTATACCTATGTTTGGTGATGAAATTAAGTTCATATGCAGGATATGTTGACGATTTATAATTGGTGTTAACGAGGCCGTCAGTCAGTGTAGTCAATCAGGGGGGGTAGGTAGGATGGTGGTGCGGTGGTGAGTTGAGGCCGTGGTGAGGCGTCGAGGGGCGGCGGTGGAGAACCAGCGGGGAGAGGTGGCGTCGGTGTAGTCAATCGGGCGGTGTCCTTCGCTCCAAGCGACTCCACCGGCGCAGGCGGCTGGCGGCTCGGGCCTCCTTCCTTCCCCTTCTCCTCCCTTCTCCTTGGCTTGGTGTGGTTCGTGGGTTGCCACAGAGTGGCGGCGGGGTATGGGAGAGGCGTTAGGGCACCGGAGGAGGGGTTCTTATAGCCGGGCGGTGGCCATGGCGCTCGGCAAACGGCGGGGAGAGGTGGAAGGCCACGTGTAGGGTGATCAGGGTGCTTAGGCTAGGGTTTTGGGGCGCACTAGGGGTAGGGTATTGGTCAATGCATGTTTGTAAAGGTTTACTTGGTGCTCCCAATTCAAATCTGGCGGTCAAAAAAGGTGGACGGGGTGGCGTCATCACCATGCATGGACAAGGCCAGGGTTGTTACAGGACCTTGGCGGCGATCTTCGTTAGCATGGCATGGCTCTTTGCAAAGCTCCTCAAGTAGAAGCTGGCATATCTCAAGGGCAGGGCCCATGTTGGCACCACCCGGCTGAAGATCATGGGCGTGGCATCCATCCATGCGTCGATGCCCAGCGGCTACACGAGGCGACGGACGACGAGGGATGTGGGAAAGGCGTGGCCTCGTATGCTCGCCGGGAGGTGCTCTACCTGACAT